TGAAACTGTTGTACCTATTAATCAATTAGACCCTGAACAAATATAATTCCCCTGTAGGTGATAATCAGTTTGGACATTTTTGCTCAAAAACGGACTGAAAGGAATATCAATTTATCATTTATTTAATTCATTAATGTTCTTATCTGACCCAGTTGTTTTTTTTTCCTTGATTTTTGTGCAGGAACCTTTTTTCTACAGTACGCCATACATGCAGAAACACACAAACGCACACACACACACACACACACACACAGAAATGCACACACGCACAGAAATGCACACAAACTCAGACGAAACATCATCTGCTGAAAATCAATCCTGCACACATTCCTCTGATCTGCTCTCTCTCTTTTTATTGATTCTTCACACACTTGTAGGCTAATCCAGCTAGCACACACACACACACACACACACACACACACACACACACACACACTTACACTTACACTCAAAAGCACACTCACTAAACTACACACTCAAAACTACACTCACACACACTACAAACAGAGTCCACATCTGACTGATTCTTTGAAGTGGTCTCCTCTGTTTCCAGAGTCTGACAGTAGTTAGCTCTGAGGATAAAGCAGATACACACACAAATACACACACACACACACACACACACACACACACACACACACACACAGACACAAGCAAATGTACACAACTACTTATGTTTTCCTATGGGCTACATCGGGAAAGGTTTTGTATGCACACATTTCCCACTTTCTTTAAAAGGGAAAACTGACAAGCATTTAACAGAAACACACACACACACACACACACACACACACACACACACACACACACACACACACACACACACACGAGTCCTCAAGTGTGGGAAAGAGTCAGCTGTTTTAATGCATAACACACACACCAGTTTCAGGTTTTACAAGACCATCAGAGGGAGAGACTCAGTGTGTCTGCATACCAGAGAGAGAAAGGGGCGAGGGAGGGCGAGTGAAATAGACAAAAGGTTGAAAGGGCGAGTGAATAAAGACATGAAAACAATGGATGTTGAATTCAAAGAAATTTAAAAATAGCAACTTGAGTAATATTTAGCGTTTAGATTTCCAGACTTCTTAAAATGAGAGACGACCATCAAACCAAAACAGTATCTTGGATCTGATTTGTTCAGCACTAATTCATTACCCCTAATTTCCACATACTGCATGTTTCTTTGTCTTTCTGAGGATGATTTGTTGTTCTGTTTTGTGTTTTATTTTGAAATTGACGGGACGCTCTGTGCGTTGCCTTGCCTGACTTCCTGTCCGGGTCGTTCTATTCTGTCCTGCTTGACACATGTTTGCAGCGGGCTCTGTTGAAAATAGACTCACTGCGTATTTGAAAAAACGGAGTGTATTGGCGATGCTGGCCTGCTCCTGAGACAGGCCGCGGCGCTCGCTGAGGAAACACAATCATTGAGTTGATTGGCAGCGCGGCACTGATGGACCACACGTGCTCAGAGTCTGTGGAAATTGGCGGTTAGAGTGAATCTTTGAATGACTTAGCTTGGAGTTTTGGTTTTTAGAATTGTTTTTTTTTGTTTTCAGATTCCTTCTTGTCCTTGATGTCTTTGTGTTCCCCTGATTTGGCCTCTCCTCAGACCAGAGGGAAAGATTGGACCCCCCCCCACCCGATGTTTTATTACCCAACATCCGAATTGAATCTGTCCCCTAACACAACACGTCTGTTTTCTGAATTGTGAAGAAATAACAGAGGGTTTAAAAATAAAACAAAGATGTAAATTAGAAGCAGGAAAGAAAGATGTGCAGACGGGACGGACGAGATGAAAGGAAGGAAATGAACAACAGGATGGGAGACGTGTTGCGACAGAGAGAAGGGAATTAAAAACAGAAAGTTAGAGTGGCTCACAGACGACTGGAATGATTCATAACAATGAAAATCATTGTTTCATGTTTTTTTTATTAGCAAAATCAGCAGAAATATTCTGATTGCAGTTTCTCAAATATTGTGAAACTCAAAATCTTTGGAGCATTTTTTGATGTTGTTCATTGAGTAGTTGTTTTCCCCTTTGGTTTTGTTTGAGAATGGCGATTGAAGGATGGTTTTGATTCTGATTAGAACTCTCAAGAACGGCTGTCCATGTTGTGCTCTGCCTCTGGTCACTTCCTGTCAGCACCTGTGGTCACTTCCTGTCAGCACCTGTGAGTCTGATTAGATTTAAAGCTGTTTGTTTGCACTTCCTGTCGTTGTTTCCTCCTCTAGATCTTTGCTTGTGTCCTTCTTACTCGTCTTACTCTTCTTATTTTTATTAGGTGCCCTATGTTTTTCTTTGGGAGGAACGGGCTGAAATTGTTGATACCTTGCAATTTTACAATATTGTTTAATAATGCAAAACAAAACTCAAAACAAGAAATGTAACACTGAATATTCAGAGCTCACAGTTTGTATTTTTCCTGTAAATGAAAATGAAATGCAGATTTATGTCCTGCAGGTGATAACTGGTCCAGTGTGAATCCTTGGTACGTGTCAGGACAGGAATGCATTTTACTGAAAGGTGTTTCTAATATTCAGTTTTCCATCATCACATTACATACAGAACATGTTATAAGAAACACCTGTCAGAGCTGCACAAAGCGTCACAAACACGTCTAAGTCAAATATCTGCAGGCCTGTTTGCATCACATTACATCAGAGTCTCTGTTTCTGTTTCCTTTTTACACCTGAACCATGAATACAGACGTGCCTTCCCTCTGTGTCTATTTGGGTAGATTTAATAAAGAGGTTGGGATGGGGCAAAGGAAAGAGGAGAATTTTGTAGTTTTGGGGGTTTGTGTCGCAGGTAGAAGCCACCTGGTAAAGATGAGGAGAGGATAAATTAAAGAAAGAAAGGAGGTGGAGGATAAATTAAAGAAAGAAAGGAGGTGGAAGAGTATAAAAGAGTAAATAAGAGGAGGAGGCCCCCAGGTAAAGACGGAGAAAAACATTCCAAAAACACAGAAAAAAAGAGAAAAGACCGGAGGAGGAGGGTGAACAGGTGAGGGGGGAGGGGGAGGGGATGTTTTGTGTTTTGTCTCTCCAGGCTCTGGGTGAAGGTTTGACCTCTCAAATTATCCCCAAGCACCCCTTAAACACTGTCACTGTCACTTACACACACAGAAACACACACACACACACACACACACTGTGTGTGTGTGTGTGTGTGTGTGTGTGTGTGTGTGTGTGTGTGTGTCCTCCCCCTCCCCCCTGCTGGGTGTCTGAGTGTTTGCAGCTCGAGGGATGACACTCCTCCACTTTAGTCCGACTGAAATACCTTAATAGCTTTTTGATGGATTGCTATTAGTTAGCTTAGCATGAAGGCAAGAAACGGGCTGTGTCTATAGTAAATCATTAACCTGTTGATCAGTTACCGCGAGCTCTATGGCTACCTTTAGCATCTTTAAGCTAATTGTTTTGGTTTTTCTAGCTTTAAACTTCAGTGTGTTTGTTTACTTTCTCTGCTGTCTTGTTTTCCAGAGAAAAAGTTGTAAAAAATCAACTTTACACTCGCAACGAACAACATCAGCATCTAGAGAGAGAGACCCGAGGTACAGACCAATATTGTTTTCTGTACCGGACTGTAAACATGTTCATTTCTGCTTTTTTGAATGGGTGTGTATGGGACTTCCGGGCTAGCCAGCCTCAAGTTAGCACTCAACGAACAGCAGGATTTTTGCACTTCTGCGTTTGATTTTTTAAAGAGGTCATATTATGCCCTTTTTGGGTTCATATATTTAATCTATGTATCTTCTAAAGTATGTTCACAATAACTAAAGTTCTAAAGTGTCTGTTTTCATGAACTGCCGCTCCATGCACCGGCTCGCTTCTGACTCTCTCTCTAAGGCTCTGAAGTGCTCACGTTCAGAGTCCCCACGTGTGCCAAGTCTGATCTGATTGGTCGGCCTATCGGCTCTGCCGTAATTGGTCAGTCGCTCAGCACGGTTCTCGGAATGTCACGCCCCTTTTACCATATTGGGAATGCAGCCACTTTGGCTCCGAGGGGAGCAAAAACATTAGCACCTTAGCACTACTGTGCTACCGCAGGCTACAGCATATCGTGGGCGTGCTACATGAGCTGCTGGGCCACAACGAGCCAATGGGCTTAGATCAGTGATCTCACACTGACAAGACGTCACACTGACAGTTTTTTTCGAGGGGGGCTAGAACCGAGCGCTACATGCAGCTAATGCTACAGCTAACAGGAGGACGTAGGAGAAGCCGCGTTTCCGCGGACTTAGAATTTTTGCAAATAGATGTGCCTAGAGCATATAAAACCAGAAACAGGATAATATGGGCCCTTTAACACCTGAGGTTGGCGCTTGGTGCGTGCGCTCTAACACTTTCGGCCACCTCTTCAGAAGTCAGAGTCCCAGTTCGTCCACCCGAGTCAAAAAAGTCTTGTTCAGCCCCTGAGATGAATCAGCCGTTACATTAAAATGTTCACCCATAGAGTGAAACGTTGTTAGGACCCTTATACAGATGCTGCAGTCCTCTGAGCAGGGGGCCAAGGGTTCAAATCCTACCTGTGGATCTTTTCCTGTATAAGTCACTGTTCCTGATTTCCAACTCTCCAATCTCTCTAATAACTAAAATTAAAATATAAAAAAGAAGAAGTTAAATATTGTTAAGTCTGTGGCCGCCGGAGTTTAAATGTTTAAATGTTTAAATGTTTAAATGTTTAAATGTTTAAATACCTCTGGACGGTTAGTGACGTATGAGCGTTCTAATACTCCAGAGATCAAAGGACGCATTCACAGAAATAGAACGTGCAACACTTAGGGGCACGTTCTCCTCTGAATTCTGGTCACACTCTGCTGCTCCCCTCCGCGCGCGCGCACGCACACACACACACACACACACACACACACACACACACACACACACACACACACACACACACACACACACACACACACACACACACACACACGCAGCAGGCGGCTCCACCCCTCTCTCTCTCTCTCTCTCTCATGAGGCAGAGAGAGAGAGAGGCATGTCCCTGCGTGTTCCTGTGGTGGTCGAGCGGGAGGGAGAGAGAGAGTATCCTGAAGCAGCAGCAGCAGCTCAGCAAGGACTCATGTTCCTGCTTATCGATTAACTGATTGACCGAATGGATTGTTGACGTGAATCTCGGATATTCTTCTTCCTGTTGGAGTTCACCTTTTTTATTTTTTTGAATATTCTGTGCGGGCTCCGGGAGGCTGTACCTACCGGGTGTGTGTGGGGGGGGCAGCCATGGGGTTCTACGGCACCTTGAAGCTCATCTTCTACAAAGTGAGTATCGATTATCGAAACGCCCGGTCGATTAACCGACGTCAGCGGCTGCGGGTTTTCATCTCTGCGGGTTTTGGTTTACGGTAATTGAGAGTTTTGTCGTCGAGGATTTCAAGGTTGTCAAGGCTCGTGCGGCACCGGGATGACAAGGCGTTTCTCCCTGACAGCGCGTGCGTGACGCGTGTGTGCGTTAATATTTAAAAAATATTTAAAAATATTTTATTCTTTATTCGAACGATTAAAAATAGATGAAAATGAATAAACAAATGGAAGAAAAAAAATCTGTTAAAATAAAAAGCCAATTTCAATATAATACACATTTGACTCGTTGGAAAAGTGTGTGTGTGGACCACTGCGGAACCGGGAGACTACTCCTGTTATGTCCTTTTCCCTCTCTCTCTCTCTCTCTCTCTCTCTCTCTCTTCCTCATTAGATTATTGATTACTGATCACCTACACCTGTGTCCTTAAGGTGTCTGTAATCTGAGCCACTGAGCAAGGCACGGTTCAGGGTTTGAATCCTAAAATAAACCTTTTAATAAAGGGGAATTAAACAGAAGATATCTAAGATTACAATAAAAAAACAAACCAATCAGCTTTAATTTCCTTATGAGAGGGATTTCTCTACAGCTGCTGTTACTGGAACACTTTGGTCTAATCTTAAAAACTGCAAAACAAGTCAGACTAAAAGGTGTTTTCCATCGGGCTCCAGTCTTGATATTTACCTGTAAGGAGGTTCAACCTTTGAAATCAGCATTATAACCAAAGTTAAAGATGGATATCACACCATACAGATGCTCTAATTTGACAGACTTGGGTTTATATGAGGGGTACAACTGCAAAAACATTAAAATGTCCAATGTTTACCAATCTTCTTGTTGAAAGTCTTAAGTTTAAAATAAAATAATTGTATATTTTCCTGCATACTTATTGTAAAAGCACAGGTTAAAGATTGAGATTACACCATGTAGATGCTCTAATTTGACATATTTGGGTTTATATGAGGGGTACAACTGCAAAAAATCAAACTAAAAGGTGGTTTCCAATGGACTCCGATCTTTATATTTAAATGTCATTAGATTCAACCTTTGAAATCAACAATAAAACCAAAGTTAAAGATGGATATCACATCATACAGCTGCTTATTTATGCATCCTTGGGGTCATATTTAGTGTACAACAAAGCAAAACAGAATAAAAACCTTTTAAAATCTGACCAAATCCAGCATTAGATTCTGCTACTTACAATCAGCTAATGCTTTGTTTGTTTTTGCAGCTACACACAAGTTAAAAACTAAAGATAACATCATTCAAAATACTAAAATGAGATACAATACACAGTCATCATAGTGACTCATTAACATTCAGACAATACGTTACATTTACATTTTTATCGCGTTTTGGCAGCTTTTAATGTAAACTAAATGATTTGATGTAAAATATGAGAAACAAAACGGCTCAAATCTTTAAAAATGGACTAAAACAACACACGACTTTAAGTACTTGATGTCCCTGCATCTCCTTCGTGTGTAACTACATTTATACAACCTTTTAAACAATGACTCTACTTCTTCCACATTGTTAAAATAAAGAATATGACGGGATATCAGGCATGAAATCCAGGACAGATTGAACAGAAGTCGGTGTAAGGTCATTGTTTAATGTATAGTGGTTTATTATATACTCATTATAAGTCGTTACAGGTGTTTTAGTGTACAGGTCTGTACACTAAAAGTCAGCTTAGAAACATGGTAGAGACGCTGATTCAAAGAGGCGTCGTCAAAGGATGCACATGTGGATTTTTACGCATGTTTTCCCCACCGGAGATCAAAAGTTCTGGCGTTAACCGTAAACACATTTTAGCTGTTTTTCACCCTCAAGTCAAGTTTTTCTCTCCGGCTTAATGAAATCCACACAGACGCGACATCTGCGATTGAAATCCAGCGACATCAGGGGGGAGAGAAAAAAAAAAAAGAGTCTGAAAATGAAAAGCAGATTATGAGTTTAGGCCGGAGTTAAGAGCTGCAAACACGGACGCGTTGGTTGTTGACGTTTTAAATCTGAAACTAAATCAGACGTCAGTGGGTTAAATCGCGTCCTCAGTTTTGACCTACAGGCTGACTTCTTTTATAGCACAGATTATGCAGACTGTGTGATAACAGTGTGGTTCAGATAAAGATGCTAAGAAGAGGAAGGACACACACACATTCTGTCCTCTGTGTGTGTGTGCAGCCTGTTAGCGCGTGCTGCTCTATTTTTGACCATTGCTGCACCGGCGACATTCCTGCGATTTTCTGCATTCCTGCATTCATTCAGTGAAAGAGAGAGAGAGAGAGAGACAGAGAGGAAAGAGATAGAAGGCTGATTCAGACCTCTGGGCCCGGTGCGTTTGTGTTACTCTAACAGCGTGGGTGTTTTCAGTGTCTCCGTGCGTACACACACAGAAGGCTGCAGTTCATCCGCAGCTCTTCATCAGTTTGGATTCTGCAAACTCCAACTGTTTGTTGGCGGGTTTTTTTTAAAGTTCCTTTATAACCAGAAACCAACTGACTAAGGTCGTCAAAATGTCCGATAATGACAGTTTGTGATACGACCTCAGGTTTTGTAATGATTGAAATGATCAAATATAAAGTATTAGCAAAGACCTCAAGGTACGATTGGGATTGGGAGTGTAGCTAAGAGTACACTTTGTTGTCATTCAGTCGAAATATAAACTTGATAATGAATCTAAATCAATCTGCCTGGGTCTGTAAAATCAGGCACTTTTAATTATGGATTCATTTAAGCAGGAAGGACATGGCTTTTCATCAGCATTTCAGGGGTTAAATTTGGTGTATGAAACTGCATAAAAATGAATTAAAATCAGTAGAACTACTTCTAGTTTCCATTGCATTTCATTTGAACAACTTCAAAGTGGAAGAATCTAACCATATAAATGGACATTTTACGGTTCCCTTGATTGCAGAAACACAGTTTGAAGATGGAAACCACTTAATGAATTCCGGCAAAAACTGCAGACAAGTGACTTTAAGGTCATAGTATGTCCTCAACGGAGTGTCACAGACTCGTTATAAGTCACCATAGCGAAGTGAAAATAGATGCTTTTTGTTCTTTTTGTTAACAAACTTTTTTCATTCCATTTAAATAGCTTTAATTTACTTAAATACCTTAAAAATTTAAAGAAACTGGAAACCTTCTTCCATTCCCGCCACTGGCTTCATGACATTTTCAGCCCTTAATGTTCATTTTTTTCAAAAGTTTTATTAAAAATACAAGCATTTAGGGTCATAAGAAATCAATTGAAATAATGGCTTTTATCATGTTTGATGCAAATATGTATCTGTTGACAATCAGGAAAAACTCAGACCGTTGCAGGGATTGAAATATCCCCCTGGTGTCAAACATCCTTTTTAAGATCCTGTACAGGATGCTCAAACTGAAGAAATATGTTGGTTTATTATTCATTAAATCTATATTTATGATGTGCAACTATCTGTACAACTTCCTAAATCAACGATCCCATGTGTTTCCAGCTGGAAGACGCTGTTCAGATTCTTAATCCAGACCTAAAAGCACACATTGGTTGTGAAAGTATCCATCATCAAGTATCACCCTGGACATGTTTGAATGAAGGTTGCAAACATTTTCGACTTCAAGCTGATGTCAAGAGAGCGCTGTCTAAATTGCACAATTACATTAGCAACATACCAATATATTTCCAACATTTTTCAGGAGTTTGCCTGCAATATCCAGGTTATTAAAAACACAAAATTAACCAGTACGGGTTGGTAGGACTTGTTTTTTTGTTGCTGTTATATCAAACAGGTAGTGGTATAATACGTTTTTTAGTAGAGTCGTATAAAGGTTCAAAAGAAGTAAACGCGTACGCCGACGACGCAGATCTATTTCATTCAGAGCGTTACAGTCTCTCACTGTTTCCTCTTCTTTGTCTTTTAACCCCCAGATGAAGAGGAAGTTGGATCACGGTCCGGATGGGCGGCCGTTCCCTTCCGGGAAGAAACACTGCAAAGGCAACGGATACCTCAGGTAACACACAGACGTTAATGTAGCTAACAGCTAGCTAAACAAGACTAAGCTACGTCAACAGCTAGCTATGTCCGATCACTTAACAACATGACAACTTTGAATCAGAAATCCAGTTTATCCACCACAGCTCTTACTGTTAGCTTAGAGGTCATTTGTTTTCTACGTCCGAATGTTGATCTACAAAATGAAAATCTTGTTTCTCTTTCCAGTCCTTCCAATCTAGTTCAAGCCACGCCCACCACATTCGGCGACCTACGGCTAGCCAATGGGCATTCTGCTCAGCGGCGGCGTGTCACATCAGGCCCGCCCCCATCTGGCCTGCAGGACTGGCTTCATATCTTCCAGGTTAGCACACACACAGCCATGTTAGCTAAACCCCTCCCCAAACAGCTATCCTTAGTCCCTTATCCAAACAACGCTACGATTTGATGCTAACAATGTAGCTAATGTTAGCTTAATTAGACAAAGGGAAACTATAGATTTAAACATGTAGAAACTTTTCTTTTAATGTTTATTTCTGGTGCTTTAAACTAAATATTATCCCAAATAATCAAACATACCTTTCTGAAGTTCTCCCTTTCTAAACTACACTGCCTTTTAAGACAACAAACACACACACACACTGAAACACACACACACTCACACGCACACTCACACACACATGCTCTTCAGCATTTCCTGATGGGCTGCATTTCAGTGAAATGTGTGTTTGAATATCTTCCGCTTCCTGAACCTAAACACAGAGAGGAGTGTTGCCTCCGAGCAGCTGTTATGTAACTAATACAAAAACCCATAAGAGTGTGAACACACACACACACACACACACACACACACACACACACACACACACACACACACAAACATTTAAATAAAAAAACATGTATCTGGCTTTTTGTAGCTTGGGGACAAAGTGAAAACGCTTTCAGAGACATGGAACAACACAAAAATAGTCACAAAGTCAAGGACATCTTCACTCAATAAACTTATGAAAACACACACACACACACACACACACACACACACACACACACTATACACAAATACACACAGGTAAAAAACTCAAAGACTTCTCTTCTAAAAAGAGAAGAGAAGCATTCAAATATTTAAAATATTTGACAAAAATGTTCATTTTCTTATTCTCTCTCTGTCCTCCTGCAGGCGTGGAGCGGCCCTGAGAGGCTATTGGCTCTGGACGAGTTGATCGACAGGTGTGAGACCAACCAGGTGAAGCACATGATGCAGGTGATCGAGCCGCAGTTCCAGAGAGACTTCATATCGCTGCTGCCCAAAGAGGTATTCAAATCTTCTACCTGTCTGAAAATCCAACCAGCAACAGAACAAAGATATATTGCACTGCGGTGAATGTGTTTTAAACATGTGTGTATTTATGTCTGTGTGTGTGTTTGTGTGTGTGTAGTTGGCCCTGTATGTGTTGACCTTCCTCGCTCCCAGAGACCTGCTGCAGGCTGCTCAGACCTGCAGGTACTGGAGGATCCTGGCTGAAGACAACCTGCTGTGGAGGGAGAAGTGCCGTGAGGAAGGTAAACAAAAAAACACTCAGTGGGGTGGGAACTGTTGGGATTTTGTGTGTATGTTTTTGTTAAGGAGTTGGGTAACTGCTTGTCATGTGTGGTGATACAAGTGAGGATTGGAGGTGTGTTGCTGAAGGAGAGCGGAGGCTTCAGGATGGAGGAGGCGTGGCCAAACAGCAGTTTGTTTTGGTTTCATGCTGGAGCTCAAGGGCGACACTGGATACAAAAAGTTGCGCATTCTTCTTTGAGAATACTTGTTTTTTTAATAGCCTAGCGGTGATGTTGCACACGCCATGTCCTGAGGCTTTGGTCCTCGTCGCTGTTGCTGTGGGTTCAAGTCCCTCCTCGGCCCTTTGCTGCGTGTCGTCTCCCGCTCTCTCCTCCCGATACTTCCTGTCTCTCATCAGCTGTTCTATCTAATGGAGGCAAACAGGCCCAAAAACAATATAATGAATTGTATTTATTTACAAGAGAAAGAGGACGTTTTACATCGTTTATCATTATAATAATAAATGATCGTCTCTTTTTCTATCATTTGATTACCTCCTTCACAGTGTCTGTGCCGGGCTGCTTGCTTCCTTTCCTCCTCTTCACATTTCATTCATTTTGCTTCGACACACTTTGATGAATTCTCTCCAAAAAAAAAAACCTTGACAATGATGGAGGGATTGTTGTTTTCCCCGCTGTGGTTGTGAGAGTTAATCAAGTGTTACCTGAGCTGAGTGCTTTCCTGCGTTTCAACACAGAAAAATCTGAAAACATATAACAGAGGCAGGAGCTCACTGGACGTATCGTTCTGTCTAACCTGAGCGTTAAATGCTAATACAGCCACACAGACAGTCAGTCAGTCACTCCTCCTTCATTCAGCGCAATGCAGTGCCTCTCTCTGTGTGTGTGTGTGTGTGTGTGTGTGTGTGTGTGTGTGTGTGTGTGTGTGTGTGTGTGTGTGTGTGTGTGTGTCTCTCTCTGGGCGCTCTGCCAGTCAGCCAGGATTCACTGCCAGCACTCAGCAGTCATACCAATGAGCCTACCTCATATTAGCACCACGCCAGAGCCATACTAATGAAGCCAGCGCTAACTGCAGCTCACCAGCTTCATAAATACGACTTATTTGTATTTGTGCTTCATCGCCGTCACACCGGCGTCAGAGGTAGAATATAAATGCAGAAAATAAAGTGAGGCCGACATACTAATGAAGCTTTCAGTGAGCTCAAACTTTTACACTTAAAGGAGCAGTATGTAACTTTGACTCCTAGTGGTTAAAATAGGTACTGCAGTCTAAATTCTAAACATCATAGAGAGCTGCCCCCCCTCCCCCTCACTCAGGTCACCATGTGGTGGACTCTGAAGCTTCAGTGTTTATCCAGCTCTGCATGGGTCTGTAAACCTTTCTGTGTTCTAACCTCTCTCCATTTTTCAAAAGCATCTCCAATATTGATCCTAGTTTGAGCACGTTTCTGCTCGTGGAGCTTATTAGAAACATGCAGAGGCTTTTTAGGTCGGGTACAATCACTTCTATCTGAACCACTTCTCTTGACCGCTTCCATCACTGCAACACCTGTTGACCTGATAACTGCTCTCATATCTGACAAACTGAGGGGTGTCCAAAACGGCCGTGCCTGGGGGTGTGTCTTAAAAGCGCCTACCTTCTCTGGTCCAAACAAATCCAGAGCATTCAGGAGCAGAATCTAAAGTTAGAAGGAGGACATACTGGCTGCTGCAGTGTTGTCAGAGAAGCCAGCACTTCAACATAGCATGTTTCCTTAATGATCAGAGAGTAAGATCACTCTGATATTTAGATATAGCGTTAGCTTGTGAGCTTATACCACATTAATGAAACCGCTGAGTCATGTTAGATATTGACTCAGCTGTTTCTGTAGTTATTAGTTGAAACATTGTGAAGTTATTAGTCATTGATCTTTTCTGTTTCCTTAAGTAAAGGGATTAGTTCATGATGGCAGCGTTGCTTCATGTCTTTGTCTCTCTCTCTCTCTCTCTCTCTCTCTCCAGGTGTGTCAGATTGTGCGTCGTCCCGGCGCAGGAAGTGCGTGCGGCCAGGCGTGGCGGTCAGCCCGTGGAAATCGGCCTACATCCGACAGCACCGTATAGAGAGCAACTGGAGGAAGGGCGACGAGCGAGAGCCGATGGTAAGCGGTCACAGCCGCTCGCTCTGATGCAGCCGACCGGCCGGCCTGTGTTTGATGTGTCAACATGGCGTCTGTGTCCTTAACATCCGTTTCCCTCTGCAGGTGCTGAAAGGCCACGACGACCACGTGATCACCTGTCTCCAGTTCAGTGGCGACCTGATCGTCAGCGGCTCAGACGACAACACACTCAAAGTGTGGTCGGCCATCACTGGGAAGGTAGGACGTGTGTGTGTGTGTGTGTGTGTGTGTGTGTGTGTGTGTGTGTGTGTGTGTGTGTGTGTGTGTTTCTGCTGCTTCACCAAACCCCATAGAGAAAACAACGATTTTAATAATGTTTCCCTTTTTCGCTACACAAGCAGAACTGACAAAACCTAAACTCAGACTTTTTACTCGTTAGTATCATGTTGCGGTGACTTCGGCTTCCTTTTGACTCGTTTATTCCCGTTTGTTTAGACGTTATAGGAAGATTTGAAGTCTTCCAGGTCGGCTGATTCTCCTCGAATGAGAGGGGAAAACTTCAGCCGAGTCCAGTTCCATTCAGATCAAACTTTAAATCAAATTCTACAATTCACTTAGCAGACTCTTTTCTCCAAAGTGACGTACATCAGAGAGTAAGAACAACACAAGCAAGGATCTAGAAAAAAGGGAACAATGTCAGTAAGAGCAAACGATCAGCTTTGAGTCTGATTGGACACACAGGTGCTGACAGGAAGTGACCAGAGGCAAAGCACAACATTGAGGGCAGTTCTTGAGAGCTCTAATCAGTATAGAAACCATCTTATAAGTCCTCGTTATCAAACAAAAACCATCGTCATTACCATCATCATCATCAATGATATGGAGACCATCACCATTAAGTTAGAGTGAGAATCTGTTTCCTGTAGTTTCCTCTATCTGTTGTTAAACCGGACATCGTCAGCCTACATGTGAAACTTTATTGAGAGAAAACAAACATGTTCGGTTAGCTAGCTTGTCATCTTGGCGGTCGACGTAAAGCAGCATGAATTCAGACTTATTGATGTCATTACTTCGGCCTCCTTTTGAAGTCTCTTTCTTCTTCTACTAGAATCCGTTGTTGTGTAACTTGTAACAGACATTGTTCCCCCGACATTAAAGACACAAAGAAATGAGTCGTTAATGTAAGAATGTGATCAGACGGCATATTGATGCAGCACCCTGACCCGTTTGTCTGCTTCATGAATTAGAATATATCCACCATGTAGGTCAGCGAGATGTCTAAAGGACTTTTGACAATGACCAAGGCACGATCGTCTGGAGCTTTCTAACATGATTCAAAAATGATGATAGTCATTTGAGGATTTTTGAACCTCGCCTTATGAACGACCAGGAAGTGATGTCTGCGGTTGCATGCGCCAAAATCACGCCCCACTTGCGGGAAAAGACGCACGCCTCGCTCATCTGTCAACATCTGTAGATTCAAATTCTTCAGACTGTGGCGTCCGGGGACGATGAACCTGCAGAGTGAAGACAATAACGAGAGTTATTCAGAGTCAGTCGTCGTGTCTCAACAGGGAGGTCGGGGGTTCGATCCCCAGCTCCTGCAGCCACATGTCCGACGTGTCCTCGGGCGAGACGCTTAACCTCAAAGTTGCTCCCTCTGCTTCATCTGTGGTGTATGAATGGACTCAGCAGCCTCTGCCATCAGTGTGTGATGATGTGACCTGCGGTGTAAAAGAGCTTTGAGGAGTCAGAAGACTAGAAAAGAAATATACAAACTCAAGTCCAGTTATAATAATGATGCATCGTCATCGTCCAATTAGAATAAAACTCGGAGATAAACGAGATTTTAAAAAAAACCGTTGTAACCATCTGATGAAATAACCATCATAAATCAAATCTAGTTTTCAGTCTTTTCACATTTGCAGCGACTTTTATCCAACATATAAAATGTGTCTGAGGTAAAGGATGTGAGTAATCCCTCCTCTGCCCACACACACACACACACACACACACACACACACACACACACACACACACACACACACACACACACACACACACTGACTTAGTGTCTCTATCTGGTTTCGGTTGAACATTCTTTAACTGACACACCTGCTCCTGCTCCTTCGTCTCGACCTGCCCTTTAGCATGTGTGTGAGCGTGTGTGTGTGTGTGTGTGAGCGTGTGTGTGTGTGTGTGTGTGTGTGTGTGTGTGTGTGTGTGTGTGTGTGTGCTCCCTGCAGAAAGAAAAACACACACACACACCCTCAGTCAGTAGCCTGCGGGGATGACGAGGCGAGATGTTTCCGCTGCGTCTCTCTCTGTTAAAAG